TCTCTGGGCAGCTTTTCTGAGCAAAGCTTAAAATCTCTTCAGATGAAGTGTATTCTTCCTCACTCTCTGCATTCTAATGCATGAGGATAGAAAACATCTGCCCCTATTTTATCAGGAGAATAAAGTGTTTTGAATTCAGTAAAACTTTTGGGATCCATACCCATATCTCATATGCTACTGTCTGCTCCTGAGCTTCACCCAGCTGCTGGAGATTCTTATCCTGCAGCATGCCTAGCTAAAGATGATGTAAGTGTGGATGGGTTCATGGATGAAGCTTTCAGTGCTGGTGTGGACACAGCTCAGCTTTCAGTAAAAGCTTCTGACCTGAACTGACTATGTAAGCTGATACGTGTTACTGCATCTTGTATCAGGATATGAGGGCCAAGCCTGTATTGCGGGGTGAGGTCGTGGGAGCAGGAAGTATGGATGGAATCAAATAAAAGAAGGAAATGTTCTAATTTCCAGCACATCTACAGAATATATGTTATAATTGGCTACTGCATAAGCATGAATCTAAACAAGACTTTTTTTGCTCTATGCTTAAGGAAATTAAGGGCAACTAGGCAGCCTCTTTGCCATCAACCTTCATTGACTCTTCAAGTTCTGACTATTTTCATAAGGTATTAAAACTGAGGACAAGGATATAATACTGCAACACTTGCTGAGATTGGGATCAGTTTACATTTCTTGTACTGGCTGCTTGAGGAAGAATCCTTTTTCAGCTTCACCCTTTTAACTGACCTTAGTAATGGGTGAGATATGCAGTAACAAACTAGAACAAGAACAGGGTCCATCTATTGCTTGTGGATCTGTTAGCTCACATCTGGAGTAACTACTCTGGCAGCAGGCTTGTAGCACTGGGTTCAGGGCAAATCTACGAGGCATGACTTTGATGAACAAGCAGGACTCAAACCCGTTCATAAGTCACAAGTCACTGCATATTGGCTTAGTCTCCTTAAAGACGTTGCCATGTCTTGAAGTTCATTCTGGTCTTAAAGGTTCTCGGAGCAATGGCATTTTCCTGCATCTGAAGTCAATGAATTTTTCTCATGTATTTTCTGTGGGTTAAAACTGACATACCAGAAGTCACTGCAGGACTATTAACCTGAGATGAGCTGCTAAGACCCAGTAATTATTTGTGCACCTAAACCCCAAGGTGTTTATTCTCTGTTGGTAGGGAGAAGGAGCCCTTACAGTAACTGCAGATTCCACTTATACCCAACATCATGCTCTGGTTCAGGGACAGACAGTGGTAAAATATGAGCCAGATTTGTGCTCAATACTACCCAGACACAGACTCTCACCTCACTAGAGTGAGGTAACAGGTGTAACTCTCTTCAACCAGGGCTCTGCTGAAGGACACATGAGGTTGGCAACACTCAGATCTGTAGAAAGGAGGCCCTTCTGGAGAGCTAGGCAGGGCCACTTGCAGTGAGAAGTTATTCCTGCAATAGCTGTAGGGTAGGGTTTTCTGTAAGGCCCAGGCAGGACACAACCATCCTTCCACAGACCCAGACTCTGCCAAAAGAGTTGTTGGGTTTGCCAAGACCTTTGGACTGTCTGTTCCTTCCACCTGTCTCCTCTGCTCTTGTCCACAGCCTAGTCTGGCTAATCATAGGGGATAAACAGAGAACGGTGCTCTGGTTACTACCTCATGAGCAAACCTGTGTAACACAGTTTACAAACATGTGCACAAGGGTTTGAGTCTCCTGTTATAGAAGTAACTGTTCTTCCCCAAAGGAAAGACCCAAAGGTTTTAACTCTTCTTCCCCGAAGGAAAGACCCACAGGTTTAAATGTCTCAAAGCTTTATTCTGCCTTCCTACTGCTGTGGCTAGTATGCAAAACTCCAGATTAGCACTGTTCTAAAAATGAGAGCAGAACCCAGATCTGTGCCCAGTGTGACTGTGGGAGCATGAAAAAGTGGAGAAGAGTGACTAACCTGATTTCCAAGTCTCCTGTCAGAATAGGTTCCACCTACTGAAATTGTCCAAGAAGAGTGTAGAGAAGCTTGAAATAAAACTTTAGAGGCTTCTGGTCCCCCTTAATGGGGATTGATTTTGTCCTTGGATGTGGCTAGGCTGTACCCTTTCCTGATTCAGAGGTAAAAAAATAGATGCTCTCTCTCACATGCTTGCACTAATTTTTGGCAGTGCCAGGCCCTGCCTACAACACAGCACACTCTTCTGTGTGATGTGAGGAACACAGTGCTTACCAGGGGTGGTTTGCCATGGTGGGTGCTGACAGATAAGCAGTGGTGAATCTCGCTCTTGGCTGATTTTAATTCCCATCTCTTGGAAATTCTCACCCTCTCCCCACTGAGTGTCCTCTCCCCCACAGGGAAAATGTGCCAGCAGGAGGACTTCACCAGCTTAGTGCACCCTCTCGCTATCATTGAGCACAAGTTCTTCTCCCAGGAGAACCTCAGGAGTTTTTTTTGTTGCTTTTGTATGGAAAGGTCATGTAGAAAGGAACTCTTGATATTAAATCTTGTGAAAATTGCTTTCTCATCGCACGAAAAGTTAATATGGCAGCAGGATTTTTGCACTGGTTCAAACATTTGTGTTGGGATGTGAGACTGTTTGTCATATGTCTCTTGACTCTTCTCAATAACATGGAACTGTGCTCACATGACACAGGTCACCTGTGCCAGACACAGTGACAGAGAGTGGGGTGGCAGTGGTGGCTAATAATTAGGGCTGCCAGAGATCCTAAGATGCTTCCAGGAGGACTTATCTGATAGGAATAAGAGGAGGAGACCTGAATGAGCAATAGAACAACATTCCCACGAGTCTCTGCCAGAGAACATGGTGATTAGTGAGAACATTTCATAGTCTGCCTATAGTTGCTTTGTTGGAGAAACTGGGAGGCTGAAGGCCATGCAAAGCCTATAGTTAATCTGGAAATGCCTGATGTGGAGATGATTGTGGGAAGGGGTTTTCTCAGCTAAGCTAGACTCAAGGAGGACAAAAGCAGCCTAGGACAAGCCACTGAGGCAAGATGTCAACCTGCTGATAAGCCCTGAACTGGAGATATCTTCATGGACAGGATGCCAATTGCAAGAACTGTGTTGGCTGCCTGTCAGAGGGGAAGTCTAGGGAATTATGGAAGCTGCTGGAATGAATAAATCCCAAGTGCACAAGCTCTGTTTCATGTTTTGGCACTGGGACAACTGTCTGTGGTGAGTAGGGCGAGTAGACTCCACTTGAGGATGTTAGGGGTTTGTTCTGCATTGTCTGATTGAAGTTGCTCTCCAAATTGTTAAACACCTGAGACAGGATGCCTGGTGGGGCTGCAAAGGAAAATGCAGATGGAGATCATACGGTGTGGCCCGGATGGGGGAATTGCACTGCACAGCTTTGCAAACAGAGGCTTCACAGGAGAACTGTGGGGGAGTAAGAGTCTGCAAGCTCTTACTTTAAGATAAGGAGCAGAGCTCCCCAAACGTGTCTAAGGTGTAGAAATTCCTCCCTTTACTGACTCATCTGAGACAAGCATGCTTAAAATAAATCATAAATCAAGCTTACTCACAAGTTTCCAAAAATCCATATTTAGACACCCAAATACAGATCAGCTTTTAAGGACACCTCTGGATTGGCAACCAGTTTTTCTGCAAACCAAGACACTTTTTAAAGTGATTAACAGTGACTTTAACAACAGATCTTCAAGAATCACATTTTAAAATCTTAGCCAGAAAGAACTGGCTATGAATCCTGCCTCATATACACAAATGGTCTTTTGAAAGTAGAAGGCAGCTTTGCTTCTCCATTACTCTGTGGAGACAACATACTGTTTGATGTACTGGAAGCCAGCTGGAAAAATGAGAAATATTGCTATGGATTCTTAGAGAATATGTGTCTGAACTAGTAAAACCAGAATAGGTCCCTTTCCTGTGCTGGCTACAGATAAGCAAAGATTGCTGAGCCTGTGGTGTTTCCCTAAGTAGCTGCATCCAGGCACCCACACAGAAAAAGGGAAACAATGTTTTCAGAAAGGATGATTTCAAATTAATGACTGAAAAATACAAAACCAGCTGTTTTAGAGGAAAGAAGAAGCTGTTTGAATGTATCTAGAGACAGAAAAAACCAGATGAGCAGATTGGTTTTCTCCATTACCGTAAAAGTAATTTTCTGCTTCCATTAAACTGATGATGTAAGGGGATTGTTTTAAACAAATAAGTAGCATAATTGAAAAAATAAAGAATATAGATATGGAGAATGTAGATTTGTGCAGAACATATAGGGAGTTATTCTGCAGTCATGCTACACATCTCTCTGCTTTCAGCAGAATAAGCTTAAAATTCAAGCCCCACAGAGCATTTTCTCCTGAGGAATGAGTCCTCCTTGCCAAACCCCAACGGTTTTAAATGAGTGTAAGTAAATATGCATAAGATAAATTGCTGGAAAAGATCATCTCATTTGTCTCCACGGGGAGAACTATCCCTTTAGCTACAGCAGTGTTCAGCACAGCACCCATCCATCCACATACCTGCTCCAAAGCATAGTCCCAGAGGCGCTGGTCTCCTCCGTGCTCTACCTGTTATCCCAAGTGAAGGCAGCTCTGGAAAGGTCCCAGTCATACCGTGAACCACGGTGTATCGTCACGTCTGTAGCTGTCTCTGCCCAGATGTTTGCAAAGCCGCTTGAGCGGGGAGAGATGGGGTGTCCTGCCCCTCTTCTTTAACGGAGGAAAAATGACGTTTCGCAGGTCGGCTGCCGCTCAGTTCCTTTCTGTGTCATGTGGGATGCCGATCATGTGTCTGTCCCCCCACCAGGACCCGGCTGCCCGGGGCTCTCCTCCCGCCTCCCCGTCGGATCCGTGCGCGCCGGGACTCCCCAGCACCGCGGACAGCGCCCCGCGCCCCGACGGGCGGGCACGGCCCGCTGTCCCTCCGGCCCCGGCCCCAGCCCCGCAGGGCCCCGGGGAGCAGCGCAGGGCACCCGGGGGCTGCGGCGGGGCTCGGCTGCCGGCGCTGACGTCCCTGTTGCCATGGCGAGGAGCGGCGGCTGAAGAGGATGCTTCTCTCCCACGATGGTCGCCATGGGACCCCGCCAATTGAAAGGAACGGAGAGAATGAATAAGGTGAAGGAGGTGGAGAGAATATTTAATTAGTTTCCTCTGGGAATTTTTTTTTTTTTATATTCCCGTGTGGATACTGAAACTCAAAATGCCTGGTCCTCCTGTTTAAAATTGGGCACCTTTTTTATTTTGTGGGGAACGACACCGACATCACTTCCTTATGTTCTCTGCCACATACACTTTATTAAACAAATCGGAATAGTAACAACCCTCCTCAAATCTCAATCAGTTGTCTCTCAGAAATGTTTTCCCTACAGATTTACAACAGCTCCATAAATTATATTACACTGTATGGTTAAGGAAGGAAGATACCATTTTATTCCTGACAAACTTTCTGCCTGTGAACTGACCAAGAAATTTGTTTGGTGTATGGATTTCTGTTATTTCAGGATTTCTGACTTGAAATACATGGGTAAACTGTACCAACAAAGGCTGGTTCAAAGGACTGGTATTTTCCTTTATTTTCCCCTCATTTTTCAGTGTACAAATCCAAGTATATTTTTATAATATTTTACTAGATGACTTTAGGACAGAGGAGAAAAAGTACAATTGTTTATTGAAAACTACTCTCAAGGAAGAACGTTGAAATAAACAATGTGGGGTTTTTTTAATGGTAATTACTCTAGTATAATGTAATTTCCTATATTTTTAAATTTTTAAGCTACATTACATGCAGTGGAACGGGTACCCTGGGAATCAAGTTAGAAACATAGAATAACTTCTACACAAAGAAGGATCTAGGTTAGCAAAAGGTAAGGTGTGGGCAGATTTGATAGAGTGCATGATATAGAGAGTGTCAATAGGGATTGTCTGTTGATCTTCCAATGGAAGAACTTGGAAGGGAGCATCAGATGAAGGAACAAGGTTCAGAGCACACAGAAGGGGTGGTTATTTTCTGACAGTATGGGTATAACTTCCTGGGGTTCCTTGCTAAAGGATGGTGTGGATGCATAATTCCATGTGAAATTAAGGGGGGATTGAACAAATGTTTGGAAAAGTGCTAAATAGAACTAAACTTTCTAAACAAATAAAACACATTCCTTTCAGAAAATCGTCTGAGCTCAGGAGAGAAAGTATTGTACTGAGATTCAGTGAAAGGTATTTTTATAACCAAACCAATAATTTTATAAAGTTTAGGCTGGGAATGTAACTTTCTAAATACATTTACAATATACTCTTGCCCTGTTAGAGAATGGCAATGGTAATGGCAGCTTGACCATACATTTCCAGATATTTCACATAGTTTATTTCAAAAATTTGCTGATTTTTGAATAGCAAGTTTCTTCCCCCCACACACACTGTTTTCCGCCCTGTGATTGTCAGTGTTAGATAAAGAAAACCTTAATTTTCACCTTATTTCCATGGTTTTCCTGACAGTGCAGGAGGGTGAAGGAAAGTTACCTGACACTTGTGTTCATGAAGTGTTGCACGGGGAGATGGAAACTGCTGGACTGACTCATACTTCAGTTCCTCTAGTTTAGGGATGGAGCCTTTGGCAGTGGTAAATGCATCATGTTTTGGAAGAAGGGGGTTCACTTTCTCCTTCTTGCCACATAGACATGAGGATCAAGGCTTGAAATATTTAGCGATATTAGTTTTTTGTGAGCTTAGATCTCACGCTGGATTAATCAATAAATAATAAAATCCAAGTAGATAATTTCAGTATTGATAAACTGGATGAGGATGTACACCTCATTCAGCATATCCAGAGAGCCTGAAACATTGGTCCTTATTATTTGGAGACTTGTTTCTCTGACAAGACCAAAGCATTTTCTCAAGTTTGTCCTGAATGACCCGTGTTATTCCAAATCTGATATCAATTGTTGCCAGAGCCATAGTTGCTGTTGATTATTTTGAAACTACTTTTGCAGGACAAATAATTTTCACTCAGCATCAGTCTGTTTTTATTGTGCATTTGTTTGACCAAAGCTGGAAGTAAATCTCAGATTATTCTTTTACACCTGTCATGTTCCTGCTATTAAAGAAGCTTTTATTCCTGCCTATGAATCCAGAGATAAACCCAGGTAGACAGATCAGGTACTCCAACTGACACCTGACTGGTGAGAAAAGGGCATTTTGTGTACTCATCACTAGACAGTTTGCTGTGGGGAGGGGGAGCAGAAAAATAAATCATATGAACAGATAAGAGGTAATAAGTGCAAATTGAAATATATGGTGTGTTGCACCTTCTGTGTGTGGGGATCATTATGGCTGAGGTACTCCCTGTGGTGCATATGGAGTCTGTGTTTGCAGGGCCAGGCAGGGGAAAAGTATTGTCATTTATGCATGGGGTCAAACTCTGATCTGTCTTTGATCATCCTTGTGGGTCTCTTCCAACTTGAGATATTCTATGATCATAAGTTTTTCCACTTTGTTCAGTGGGATCAGTCTCTTGAGTTTGGTACACAAGGGTCACTAGCCCTGGAGGGCTGAAGGCAGCTCTGGGGTTGCACAAGAAAACATCTGTCTTAAATTCCTGCCTCTTTTGATGTCTCAGACATGCAGTTTGGGATACATCATTTGGCGTCTCTGGATCAAATTCAGCTCAGGAGCACCAGGTTAAATTCAAAGTGACTCCACTGAAGCCACATGGCAGAGCCCAACCACTTACCAGTTAAACATGTCTTCACTGTTTGTCCTAGGGCTGAATTTGGCACAGGGCCTTGAGAATGATTCCATGTTCTCTAAGAACGCAACATTTCAGGCTGGTTTTGTTTGAGGGATGGACAAGGTGACTATGTATCCCTCAGGCAGGATCCCTCAAGACTTTTAGATCTAGTGTGAACTGTGCCACTAAAGGGTAGCCCACCAAGAGAAGGGTTTTTTTTGTTTTGTTTCACTGTGTTTTCACCTGTTTAAATCCCAAAGTGGTTCAGAGAGTACTGAGAAATATCCCATGGCTGAGCTAAAACCATAGCTTTTCTTAGCTGTGCTCAGACCTTTGTAAGGTCTGACCTTGCCCCTGTAAGGTCTGAGCACAGACATGAAAGTGAAATCCTGAGATAACAAGCTCTGGAGACACCTTATATGTACTTGGTGTGGAAAATAGTAACTTGCCTGGAGGAAATATGACTCACTCTTCTTGGTGTTTGGAAAAGTAGGGCAATGTCTAGGTTTCTGTTTAATTAAAGCTTATTATGAACTAGTTTACTTCGTCTCATCCCCAGGCAATACATGAAAAGCAGCAATCACTGGCCCTTGAAATTAATATACGGCATTGTGCATTCTAATGGATGGCATTTCATATGACCTACATGCACAGAGTGCAGCTAGGATGAGTCAGATTTCTGTGTCTGAGGCTGCCATAGCTCCTACACTCTTAAATTAATGCTTATATTTGAAACAGAGAAGCACCGATCCTGAACCATTCATTAAGAAGCAGTGGTAAGATATGCACCTGCTTTAAAGAGGAACTTATTCCCTGGAGACATTGACCATACCTCTTACTCAGATACAATTTCAATCATGTCAAGTAAGGTCAAGAGGATTAGGACAGACAGGATTTCTGGCAATGCCGGTCAGGGAATCTTAAACAGGGAGGGAGCTATGGCATCAGGGGGTGATGCTGTGGCAACCACAGGAAGCATGGATAATCCAGTGCCAAGGAAAAAATAGTCACAATTTATTATTTTATTCTGATATAGGCTCTTGGTTGAACATTACTGAATGGGAGATCTTTTTTGGTTGTTAGGGCGGCTACTTTCTGCTTTGCATAACAAAAGCTATTTCACTTTCCTGATAGGACCACAGAACTCAGGATGGATCAGACTCAGTCATTGTAGCCTGGGGGCCTTGCGTAGACCAGAACTGGTGATATGAGCTGGCCTGATCATGTCCAACCATTGAATGTGTGCTACAGCTTAGCACAGCAGCACAAGGCTCTGCCTGGTTCAGTGCCGTGGGCAAGTACTCAAGGGTTATTTAAACACATAATCTTTCTTACTACAGAGCTGTCTCTTATAACACACAGACCTGCTGTAGCCATAGAAGTATCCTGCCACATCCTGTCAAACAGTAGCATGTAGTCCTTGGCATCTTTCACCCAGTGAGCCAAGAATGAAGTGGGCATTCAAGAGATAAAGCCTTATGGGCAGGCAGTAAAGTAATTAGTCTCTTTGGTGCTGAAGTGTCTCCTGAAAATGGGATGAGAGGCTTGCTGTATTTAGAAGAGTAATGATAAAATAAATTTCCAAAGTCTGGGTCAAACTGATGAGCTCTGTCTTATGCTTGGGAAACAGAAGCAAAAGGAAGTGAAATGGTAGAGCTGTGAACTGCCCCTATCAATCAGGTAACATAGAAAGCATGCTTCTCACTTGGCCTAGGGAAAAAGAAATAGGACTTTTTTAGATTTTGAAATTTTAGTCTTTTGAATAATCACTAAGATTCTTCATATAAAAATTCACGTAAACATTTTTACATGTTCATGTTTAATACATTGGTTATTTTCAGATATTTTTAAGAAAATCCTTGCCTTGTCTCTGCTTCAGTGAAGGAGGGCTGGTGACTCCCTTATGCTGCTTGAAACCATATGGGGTCCCAATAACCTTCTCATCTTATACACTTCCTTTCTCATGCTGCCTTTTTCAACAACTAGACATTTGCCTGTGTTGTGATGGAGCTTGTTTAGCAAATTTGGCCTTGGGCCTAGGAGTTCTTGGTGATCCAGCTGTCCTTGTTCACACTCTTCTGCTCGAGCCTGGCTGATGATGATGGCTGGAAAATTAGGCCCATCTATTCCCTCCAAAAGATGCATTCAAATGGCATCATGAGGAAAACATACCCAAGAAGTGCTACAGATGTGTTTGCTTTGAGCCTGATGACAGCCTCGTTAAAATCAATAAAAAGACTCCCACCAACTTCAATAGGGAAATTATTTCCCACTCTGGAATTGTCTGCTTGAGTTATGCAAAGGAAACAAGGTCAGGCTTTGTCTTAAAATTACTTACACAAATAACTTATTACGAGATAAATAACTGATGAGGCAATTCTTACAGGGCCCCAAAGGTCAAAGGGTTTCTTACCACAACTGATAAAACATCCTTGACTGATGTTCTCACAGCACCCATGATAATGTTGCTGATAGGCACAACATGCTTTCCATCAGCATTTTATGATCTACTTATAAATGCCATATCGTCATAAGTCTCTACTAGCAAAACAAGTAACTTTTGTGTCAGAAAGCTGTGCAAAAAATTTGGAAACTAAAGTAATTTTTGAGATCTGAGGAACATTCGGATTAAATGTTACCTCAGTTGTGAAATGTATTTCTGGGAGAATATAAGACAGGAAGCCTCATGGCTGGAGAACAATGTGTCATTGGAAAGCCAACTTCTTTTCTGGCTGATCTTTAACCACTGTAAAAAAAGGGGGGGAGGAACACGGCACACTTATTTCAAATAAAAACACTACAAATGATGGAGAAGCCCTGAGAACAGACACCAGGATTTGCCACATATTGGCTGTTGTTTCCCCTTACTTCTGAATTTGCTCTTAAAAATGGCTGCGAGACTATTATATGTGTCTATTATACACCAGATTTTCTTACTTGAAGGGATATAGTAATATCTTTGCTCCCACTGTGCAAAAAAATGAAGTTATTTGTGAAACCCTCAAGCCCTTAGTTTGAATCCTCTCTCACTGGGAACAGCCTAAAAGTAATCATCCTTCTGAAGTGTCAACACTGGCATTACTGGACTTTTTCTTCCCTGGGTGAAGTAGTAGCTGCACAGTGATTCCCAGTGTCAAAGGGATTCATCCTGATGATGCAGGAAGGTGGGAGCGACCATGGGGACACCGGCTCTGCCCCTATACGAGGCTGGGGGGCAATGAGGCTTTGGGAGGTGGTGATACCAGGATGGCTCTTCTGCTTGTGGAGAACCTGAAATGGGTTTGGTGGGGAGACACCTATGTCTCCCCATAATTCCTCTCTGAGCATCAGTTGAGCACTTAGTTCACTAATCCTTTCTGGGGCAGGTTTCAGTTTTTTCTTCTTGAGTCGCTTTCTGAAGGCAGCTGGGAGAGCTCAGAGATGTGTGGCCTGGCAGCCCTGGCAGCTCTTAGCTTGCCCTGGGGAAGGACAGAGAAGGGTGCACATTGCAGGGACTTCCACTTCTCCCCTATCTTCCCACAGTCATGACAAAGAGAATTCTCATATGCATAAAACTGTATGAGAGAGAAATGTATTCAAAAGAAACACAGAAAACAGTGGCCACAGGTGGTTATTGCTATTTACTGTCTATAGTTAATATGCCTTTGGGACAGTGATGTTTAGAGGAATCTGTTCCTTGTCCCAGCCCCCTGGCCAAGAAGGCTTCACCATCATAAATTTGACTTGAATGGTTTATAAACCAGAAGAGAGGTGCTGCCTTCATGCAGCAAAAATCTGCAAAGGCTGTACTTACACTTTCTTAGCGACACTCCTTTGTAACTTTTCACACGTTCACCAAGACAAAAACCCACAGCAGTTTCGCGGTTAGTATTTTACAAGCTCCCTGAAGAATGGACTTATTTGTGCTCCTACGCCCGGCGCTTCGGAAAGCAAATCAATGCTGCCCTCCCGCGGCCCCGGGCTCTCTGTGCCAGGAGGATGCTCCAGATGTCCGTCAGCCTCCCCGCATGTTTTCTCTGCTCCGGAGGGAGAAGAGAGAGCCACTAGGCAATAGGTTTTCCACACTGAGGTTTTTCACACCTCCTCCTGTTCTGACACCTGAGTTTGAAGCCCCACCTAGTAAATCAAAGAAGGATAACAGCTTAACTGAGTTGTTGGACATTGCCCTTTGGAGGAATATGCTTCTTTCCTTGAGTAGGAGGTAAACTCAAGACTGTGAATGCAGAATCAGGAGCCTGAACAGCCATCTGTGCCTGCACTGCCTCTGGGTAATGATAGTGCCAACCACAACCAGACTTCCCTGAATCCCATTTTTTTTCTGCATTTGCCTATTTATATTTAGGCCTTCCCAGTGACTGGATGGAGGAGGTGGTGGCTCTTCAAGCGGCCTTGCTGTCTCATTTATATTCCCTATTTCACACATATACCCACATTCATTGTACTAAAAATCTCCAGGTCACTTCTAATGACCTGTGTCTGCTGGTCACCGAGGACCAGAGATGCCTGCACTGCTATGATGAGACTTCAGGGAGGGAGGGTTTTTAGTGAAGGAATGTCGAGACAACAGCAGCTGTAGATTAAACAAATGTGCTATGCTAGGTGACAGCTGGAAAATTAGGGCAGTGGTGGTGCACTAAACTGGGCTAAATTCTGTACTAAATTTAAGTTTGGAGTAACCACTCTGAAATAAATAAAGTAACTTTAGACTGACTCCATTGTATTGGAGAGCAAAATTGGCTTTGCAATTACATGAAAAAGTGCAGCAGATGAAGGGTTTCATAAAAATTTCAGTCAAGACAGAGTGAAATCCAACAGTTCCAACCAACCTTTCTCTTTTCTAGTAGCATTTCTGTGTCTGGCTTCTCATACCACATTTCTCTATTTTAGGGGCATTTATGGGTTTGCTTTTATAAAAGAGGCCCAGTCTCTGCCCTCATTTACACTGTCATATGCCTACCTGTTTCAATGTAGTTCTTCTCTACTTGAGCTTTCATAAGCAAGATAAAATAATCATAATTGATCTTATTGTAGCTGAGCAGCAGGTGAACCAAGAGTCCTGTCTGATTCGAGACATCTTGAATGCCATGATCAGAAAGACACCAGGCTGACTTCTGTCCTCATATGCAAATCCTGCTGACATCAACATCTGAGGGTAAAATTTATCATCTCTCACCTCTGCCTGTCCCCCAGCTTTGTAGTTGGGAAGGGGAGCCAAGAGTCACAAGGAGTCTCTCCAGAGGACAAGATTATTCTTGCAGGAGCAGTTTTTCTGTTTTTTGACCGGATTTTAATGCTTATCAGATGTGAAGTTCACAGGAGGAAAAATGAAGCCCAAGTGAGGTATTACTTACGCTGAGAAATGGCCAGGCATGTAAATATGTTCATGCTGAGGGACCATACTTGTTGCAGATTAAAATGCATTATATATAATATTATATATAGTTAAGGTTATATTTAAGGCTAGTTTTGGGTTGCCACCTTTGAAATAAAAAGGGCACATTAGCCACATAACTGCTGTGCATACTCTGTGCGTGCATACTGGCTTTAAACCTACAAGGCCCCAGTTCACTGCTGGCAACCTTGTGCTGGGGCATGAAATGAATTCTCTCTCTCACCTCAACAACCCAGGTCTTATGCTGCCTCTTCCTCCAGGGCCTGCATGTTCTGATGAAATTCAGCATGCGTTTCACAATGACGATGCTATTTCTCTTCTTCCAAATAAGCATAATAAAAAAACTCTGCTGATACCAGTCCTGGTTTCCGAATGAACCAAAGTTTCACTGAAATCAGTGGTGCTGCACTGGTTTTTGCTGGATGGTGCTCTGTAGCAATGAAGTTATGGGAATTTTTAAGTTCTCAGGAAAGGAAAATCGAGATAGATGTCTCCCCTGTTGTTAATACCGTCTGACCTTTTTTCCTGTATACTGTCCTGTGTGTCATTTAGCATGTGAGCACTTCAGGGAAAAGGAGAGGAAGTATCCTCAGTGGGCTCTTTCGTGAAATGAGGAAGATTACGTGACTGTTTTTTTCCCGTGGAAGAAGACTGTAGATTTAACACTGCAGACTTTACTCATTCGAAGTGCTCAGCCCTCCCTTGAACTGTGAACTTGGCTCAAAAAGGATTAAAAGGTGGGTATCAAATTACACCTTTTTTCCTTTCTGCCACCATAGTCTAAATGCCTGGGTCAGGATTTTGCTGCTACCCTGAGAGAGCTAAAAGCTCTCTTCTTACCTCTCAAAACGAAACCAGCCTCAGGATATCAGCAGTGAAATGATAAGAAAACCACCAAGGCAGTGTGAGACCCAAGTTAACGCAGGGAGAGCTGATTAAGCTGCTTGCAGGTGGGGCTCTGGCTCGCTAGCAAAACACACCTGGCTATGGCATATATTGGTGCATAGCTGTCTCTTGGGATGAAAGGGGTTACCTTTTATCAGAGTTGTCTCTGGGTTGTATTGCTTATACCCGAATGAGTGTTCTGCTCATTTAAGGTTAAATCTTACCTTTCCATTTACACTAGATTGTACATTTTTTAGGCAATATGCCTGGAATCTGTGTATATGCTCATGGCCTATCAGATATGAGTCTCTGTAGATGGAAATGATGAATAATCTTATTGGAAGGGATTGAAAATGGTTTGTCTTTGGTGCTTCCAAATAGATTGGTCCCAAAGTGTTGTGCTACCAAAATGCTGAGAATCAAGGAGAGAAGGGCTCCCAAGTGCTGATGTAAAGACATGGTCTTTGTAACACCTGGTACTACTTAATCTGTGTTTCAGGTTGTTCAGGCATGAAGTACAAGAACACTTTTGTCTTTCAGGGATGCTGAATCAGGCCCATTTATGCACTGGCTTATGGAAGATGTCTTTGGCCTGCAGTGCCTGAGAGCAGGGAATGGCTCTTGTAGGGTAAATAACCAGTGGTGGGACAGTGGTGTGACAGGGACAGGACTAGAACAGAGGTACCCACGGGGGACTAGGAGAGGAGGAGATCTCTGCCTGGGTTTTAGTTTGGACCCTGTGAGGCTGAACATGTGAGGTTCTCATCAGTTCAGAGGTGGGAAATGTCTCATTGACATCATTTGACTCTGCTTGGTCCCCGGGCAGCCAGAAGTCATGTCCTTTCTCTGCTTCCTCACTTCCTTCTTTCTTCCCTCATTTCTTCACACAGTCACAGACTGGTTGGGGTTGGAAGGTCCAATCCCCTGCTCAAGCAGGGCCACCTCAGGCAGGCTGACCAAGACCATGCCCAGTCAGGTTTTCCATCTCTCTGAGGATGAAGACTCTGGAGCTTCCCAGGACAACATGGCCCTTCCTGGCCCTGCTCCCTTCCCCAGCCCCTGTGCATTCCTTGCATCAGTCAGGTGGCGTCAGCAGGCTGCAGCTGTTCCTCCCAGGGCATCCTGCAAGGAAAAATCACAATGGGATCCACAGGAAATACTTGGCAAACAAATGAGCGGAGGTTGGAGTACAAGGACAATACTGTGACAGAGAGAAGTGATGTTTGGAGTGTTTTTCCTTGGTGAGTCTGAGTAACCTCACCAACATATGGGCTGTGCACTGTGGAAAGCTGCAGGAGGGAGTTTAGTGACTGGTTAAACCATACTGAGCTCCTGACTTCTTTAACATTGTAGACATCTCCCCCAGCTGTTTTAGACAAACTCACCTCATCCTGGCTTTGCCAATATGTTGTTGCCTTGGGCAGATGGCTTCTGTGCAAGTTTCGGGCTGGCTTCCTGCCAAGTCCCCGAAACTCGACAACAAGGACCCGCTTCCCAGAGAGGGAAGAGAAAAAAAAACAAAACGACTTAAGCAGCTAAAGCTATAGCAAAAATATATATATATTTTACATATGAGACAGATATATACAATGAGAATACTATACACTACAACTCCAGAAATCCCAAACAGTTCCCCAAAAAGGGAAGAGGGGGAGGGAGAAGGGAAAAGGACAAAAAGGGATAAAGACCAAACAAGTCAACCAGCCAACTGAAGGTAAATTAGCAAAATCTCACTACTTCCCTTTGAACAAGCAGGATGGCTAGACACAGCCCAGCACTCTCTCCTCACGCGTGGCAGATAACAGCAGTCACTGCAGGCCTCAGCTTCAGATAAGCCAGACCGAGACAGGGACCCACCGTTCTCGAACCTCGCCGGAAAGGAAGAAAGGGAGGTCTCTCCTGTTGGCTTTATTTATACCTCAAGTTACGTAAAGGAATAGCATGGAATACTTCCGTGATCACCTTCCTAGTTCCTTCCTGGTTACAAGCTGGTCTCCAGGAAGGCCTGAATGAAACCATTACAGCTTCACGTCACAAGCCTTGGCTTCGTCTGTAAAATGAAGCTGGTAACAGTCACCCTCTGGTGTCCCAGGGCTACAGCACGTTTCTTGTCTTACACCTGATTCAAACCATTACAATGCAGTAGGAGCAGAGATAAGCCCCGGGATGGGGATGTTTGTCTAGTGTCTGTGTTCTTACCCTCTTTGGACTGACCTGCAAGAATGACCACTTTGCCGGCTTGGAAAGACAGCTGGGAAGTATATTTAAGGAGCAATGCTGTTTTTATAAACAAACTGTGAAACCCATGGTGACTATCTTTCGAGATCTAGACTAAGTAAGTGAATGGGTGAAGGTATAATCAAGTTGCTCTGCTCTGGGCTGGAAGTGGCTGCATGCAGCAGGGTTGTGTTGTGCAAAACTCTGTTCCTGAAGTGGCAAGCTAATGAAATGTCACTGACAGTGAAGGACCGAGTTAGAGGTAGTGGGGTTTAAATCTGTTCCTACCAGCACTCGCCATGTGGTGAATCATGCCAAGCTGTGTCTGCTGGGAGATGAGCTCCAGGATCTGGGCTAAAAGGAGCAATGAGAGGTTCTCAGCTCTTGCTCTCCAGGCAGGAGACAAACTTTTTATATGGTGAATGAGGTGGTGTGTTGCATTGTGCTAAGTTACTCAGAGAAGGGAACCAAATACAACTCTTGCTTCTTTTTAATGACTTCTTATAGGGAGCCAAGGCCTGGCAACAGGAGGTCTAAACACTCCTTCAGTCTTTTGACTCACAAAAATATACGTCTCTTACAGATGCCTTGGTAGGTGGTCTAACTATAGCCTTTAATCCTTCTGTGCCTCAGCTCCCTCTTTTTTAAGATACAGATAGGAATACTTTGCAGCCATGCTGGCAGTATAAATATCTCAAGGACAGGGATATTGTCTGCTATCTTGTTACCGTGTTGCCAAAATATAGGGGCAGGGTATTACTATTTACTGTTAAATTTCCAGACCTGGCATTTTAAGCTAGTGTGTGTTTTGGAAACAGTGAGGGAGGGCTAGAGACAGAGGAGACTTACTCAGCCTGGCTAGGGGGCAGGGAATGGGCAAAAAGGTTGCTCCCAATCTTCCTCTCTGGTTATGGAGCTGTGTGGATGGATTTTGAGGGGAAAACCTGCTCAGCTTACAGACAGTCTGCTGCTACAGCACTGAGCTCTGAAGGTCTGGAGCTGAGGAACAGAGGTATCAGAAAGCTTGAATACCATGAATCACTCGTCTGCTCAAATAGCCTTCATAAAAAAATAAAAAACCACAGCACCTTCTGAAGATGTATCTTGACATTTCTGAGCATGAGGGATGAGTACAGGTCACAGAAATCTGGAGTCCCGCAGCACTGCTTTTATGGGCAACAGTACTTTGGAACTTTACTCTTTTGTACGGTACCCTATAGAAGGCATGTGATTAATCCACTTAATTTGTGGGTACCAAATGCTTGACTTAAGGAGAGAAAGAATCTAATACGGGGCTTAATGCCTCAATTGGATTTCCTAGCAAGTTTAGGCATGAGATTTTTCTTACAGAGATTAGCTAGATTATTTGGTAGAAACGGAAACCAGAAGACCTGGGCGTGGTTAAAGAAGGAAACAGGGAATGGATAGTGTAACTTCAAATTTTTCTGTGGGGTATGGCAAGATAAGAATGTACTTGGGGAAGTGTAAGGTGCTTTTTTTTTAGTGGTGGAAAAGGACTGTGCTTTGAAGAACCATGACATGAGAGGGATGGAAGTGAAGGATATGTAGAAATGTAAGGCTCTGAAACCAGCAGAGTACATTTATGAAGAAGATGTGTAGCCAAGTGAGGAGTGATGTAACAGTGAGGAAAAAAAGAGCTCTACATATACAGCAGGTCATTCTTACTTTTTTCTAAACTGTGATTTTTTTCTTTTATTTTCCCGGGGTAACATGGAAGAATCACAAAATAAAATTGCCAGTTCATACCATGTTTCAGCTTCTAGCTGGGACAACACTTGTTCTGCATCTGATAAAGGAGTCTCCAACATCTGCCTTAAAACTTAGGGATTGTTTTATCCCAGTCTTGGTAATAGCATCTCTGCAGTTAACCAGAGGAGTGTTAGAGCAGTTGCTTGCAGTTCCACAGCCCACACACTGAGGCTGACTGAGTGAGCATCCTTCAGTGAAACTGCACCAATGATCTTTAATAGAATTTGGAGATTTGTAAGTGTTCGTGGCATGGTATATACATACACACGTACACATTTATCTGAGAAAAATTTGTTGTGTTGTCCTGTTCTACACCTCCAGCTCTTCCCCAGTTGTGGAAGGGCTAGAGGTCCTCCATGGCTTGCTGCCTGCCTAGGCAGTGAGTTGAAGGTGTAGGAGATAGGAGGGTTTTAGAAACTCCCTCAGTATGCTGGATCCAGCAGACATCAGTTGTGTGGCAGATTCAGCAGAGGGAGCCTTGTGTTCAGTTCTGGAGCTGAGGAAGGGAGGGGACTTAATGCAGCTTAGAAAAAGTATTGGCCTGCCTAAGATTTTAAACACAGTTTGGCATGTAATTTGATTCTCTTTAAAACAGGCCAGCTGGTAAAAGTCTAGGTCTAACAGGAACTTGAGAGCAATCTCAGCAAGTTAACATGTTTTTAACACATCCTGCTTCATCGTTTTTACAAAGACCTGCTGGAGAGTAAGCAATTGTGCTCTCTAATGGTGCTGCCTGCTCTGCTGGAACACATGGGGCACTTTCTAGTCTCTGTTACCAGAGACTGTCTTTGCTGAAACACAAATCAATAGACCCAAGGAGCAGCTTGTGAGCCTCTGCCTCATATATAGGTATGACTTAATTGAACAGGACAGTTTCCACCCTTAGGTAATGGCATCCATGCAAGTGTGGCTGCTTTGATGGATAGATCTCCTTGCAGAAGTTTCACCCTTGATCAGAGCAAGTTAGTCATGACCATCTCGGACAATATTGTCCTGGGAGGACAGTAAGTATTCCAAAATGCTAGTGGGAGAAAAGAGGG